AGCCCAACAACGAAGCAGAAAATGTACCCAGTAAGTTCCCGGTTCGGGGACACTCCCTGTCATACATGTTAAGCATTTTCGTCACACTGTAATTTCTTTCCGTATTTAATTAATTATATTAACTAGTAAGTATATCGAGCAAATGAACCAACTGAGATATTTTGTTTTGTTCACGTTACCAGTAACGATAAATCGCTCGCTTCATTTACTTTGTACTTTTATGTAAAACTATGTGACATATGGTCTAATTTGTGTATGATGTCTCATCAGAGGTAGACCTCATTGATAAGCGCAATTATCAGATATATATATATATATGTTTGTATATGCCACACCCTGACTTTCGTCAAATTTGTTTATCTAAACGCTCAGCTTTCCGAGCTCATTCACGGGATTTAATATGACACTGTCCCATACCGAAACAACAACACATCTGTAATAATATTCACTTATGTTTTTGGTTCCCTTAGTTGAATGCCAATTAAACGTATGATCTCTCGATTTCTTGATCAGTAGACAAACGACTCAACGACCACTTTATTTATACAATAGTGACACTGATATACCCCTCAATCCGCTCTCAGAGGCCGTGAGCATCCATCAACCATCTCTTCATGCGACCATCAAATAAACTTCTCACTAATGTGAGTAGTACCCAACTACGTTCGTACTTTATCAGCACTGATCTCGCTTCTGCTTTCAAGTAAATAAAGGCAGACCATCTACAGTCACGAATGGCGTTTGTTTCTTATGACTACTAAACATTTGGTGCTCTCAAACAAACATTACATCTTGGGATGATTCTTAAAGAAAACTGAAGTAGGGAGTAGTTGGTAATTCCACAGGAGAAATTCAAGCAAAGAACTTTAGGTTTTACACATGTTCCTCGATCATGTTTAACACATTTCCCGTTTAGTAAAGAAACCAAAGATAAGCCGAAAAAAATAGAATTTGGTGTATTGCATAAAACAGAGCAAACATAATTTTAGGTGAATCAACTTTTTGATAATCTTACATCAGATATCAACTCAACTATCCAACCATTTCCCTGGATTTTATCTCCAATCAAGCGCTGGATCCCGGATCAAACTCAATCAATTTTGAACAGAATCCTGGTCCCCCAAAGTGGATAATTGAGAACAGCGACGTTGACACAGAAGGTCGTCAAACGGTCACGGATGGTGAGACACCCTCGGTCAATGGAACGCAATTAAGTCAGTTGGATTCCGGTCAGTTTGGAACATTTCCACATCTTATGGCATTACCGTTTCATCTTGCTCTAGAGTTTTCAACTGTATTTATTGTTCTTCCCGTGAAGTGGCATTGCTGACTTTTGTTCTCAAATATCAAATTAGAAGTCTGGTTTTAACATGTTCATTTGGCGCCTAAACCCACATGCCATCTAACCGATACGGCTATCTTCGTCAGGTAACAATTTCAGATAGTCATCGGAGAAAAAATTAAACTAAGGTATGCACATAGCGAATATCATGCATTGCACTCTTTTGGAACTGATCAAGACCATAGTGGGTAGATCTTCTTGTAGGTTGAGCCGTTCTTTCGACAGTGGCTCGTGAACAAGGTACATACATTATTGAGAAATCAGCGTCAATTCGCAGAGTTGTGCATATCACTCGCAAGAAACAGCGTTTCAGTGTTTACGAAAGAACCGAATTAAACATATGTATTCAGAAAAGGCTTAATAACAAAACAGTTCATATTATTAAAGTGTATGTATGTATATGTCCAGAATGTTCAACGCCAACCGTGAAGCTCAAAGCAGAAGTTTCAACTCCTAGCCTGAAAGTAGTTTAGCGGTCCACTAATCGATCCCAAATAGGATGGCACACATAATCCACTATTTTTTTCATTTGAATAAAACAGCCGAAAGAAAGGAGGTTGAAGTTGCGTTGAAGTTCTTCAATAAAAATGATTAAACAACGAAAACCAGATTGCATCTCCCCAATGCATATTGTGGTCAATTCCAGTGAAGGCAACATCTACACACATTGCCCCAATGACGAACTGTTGTTTGTTTACGTGGTAAAACGACCAACGATTGTCTCTAAACCAAGTGCTGGAATTCCATACAGGAGCAAATAGTAAATAGAAGATCTGAGCAAGATGTGCATAGTTACTGTTAGAATGGGCCAGAGACAAAACGATGAAAAGTTAAATGCGGTACTGAAAATGCGATTCTTAAAGCTGAATAAAACAAATGTTGATTTCATTTAGATCCCTCTTTGTCTCTGCCGCCTCATGATCATTGTATAGCCTCGGTAAATTTAATTAAGTCGAAAATTTTTGGGCCATGTCTGTAACATAGAAACTCGTTCCGCCCACGATTCAGTACATACCTTCACAACCCCCCCCCCCTGATCTATCAGTTTCAATTTATCTCGTAACACATTCCCTGCTATTGTTGACCAGTAAACTTTATTAATATCGACTACCTCAGCATGATTCAGCCCTCTCAAGCGCTTTTTTTTAATGTATCACGTGTTTTTCGTTTTCCACCAGTTTCGTATTCTTGAGATTGGCATGACCGACGTGGAAACTGTAAGACAGCGCTTTCAATTTTGCTTATTGGTACTGAAACCCGGGTTTTGTACCTGAAACAAATATTCTGACCGTTTGGGACCGAAACGAAAGTGCGAGTGGGTTAGTAATACCCGAGTGAGCCATTATATACTTGAACCTATCCGTTATCCTTGCCGAATTAGATGTATGAACCTTGTTGCCTCGGAGACGTATTGCAAGTTTGATGGTCATCAGACAAACGGTACCTTATTTTCAGTTGCAGTTACTAGACCAAGAAACCAAGTGGATGTCAACGGACAAGATGGGGATAAATGGGGAAGAACTTCCCGGTGAAATCCAACAGAATAGAGGCCTTTTGTCTGAAAGGTTGGAACCTAGTGGACTGCGTAAATTTGATGGATGACGATACTAAATGACATGAGGGAGAACCGACAGCAGAAGCTTTCTTTTGCAATTTATTTTGGGGTCAGAATACTTTAAAAGATGTATATGCACAGCCACATCACAGAAGTGGACTTCTGCCCTTTCCGCCAAAACAGTCTCGCACACTATCCACCTCATATAAGTTGATTTCACTGTCTCTCAGGATGATAAGAAATTTCATTCAAATCAAAGCACTCGTGCTTACGAATCTACTACGTCTATTTTTCCATGTATACATTGCCACATCGATTGCAACCTTGCAGATGGAACTAAAGGTTGATAGACTATGTTTTACGCTCCATTTGCATGTAACCTACACCGATCGGCATGGCCGCTTACAGGTCTATTCTCTTCGACAAATGAAAATCAAAAGCCCGGTACAGTGATGCACGCGAATGACTTGCCGGTGATCGCAGTAGACGATGACAAAAGTAACTCGCGAAGTACGTACCCCTTGTCCTCCATATTTTTGTCGTTTTGTTTCTCTGATATCCCCCGAGGTTATAGAAGTGATTTTGAACTTCCTATCTGTCATGCATTCTCACACATGATGTCATTCATTTTACAAATGATTACGAAAACATTAGGTACAGTATTTTACCAGTGTCTGTTTCGATAGAGTCTGAAGCAAAATCATGCCGGCGTCCGTCGGAAAGCAACTGGTGCGGATCAATCATTCAACCGCACAACTCAAGTCAAGGTCAGGTCAAATCTGGTCAATAAAGGCCTCTTGCACTGAAAGGGTGCATTTTCAGCAGTTTTCTAACATGTACAGTGAAACAGATAGTTTTCGATTAAGAAAAACTAAAAGTAAATCGGACACTATATAAACGAATAAGAAAAAAACATGTAATGAACAGTTTTCCCCTAGGTTGAGTGAACATTGTTGCATGAGTAACATAGAGATGAACCAGGTGTGGGATTAGGCTGCTTCTATATGAGGATCTACGGCCGGGGAGAAGTTAATATTCGAACCCGGTTCAGGGATATGACACGGCTTTCAAGATTTCGGAATGAAGAAAGTATCCTCGATCCGTGATTCCGTGTCAATGAACTTAACGCAAGCGCTAAAATATTTCGAAAGACGTCAATCAAAGTAGTACTATTAATCCCACTGCATCGAGACCGTGGTTTTAGGAAACTGGAGAACAAGGTGAAATCGTTTCCTTCCCGAACCTGCATGCATAAAAACCTGATAACAGAATAGGCAACGAGTGTCAGTGAAACCAAAGTATTCAACAAACTATTGACTTTGAGATCACGGCAATTACTTACGGATGCCAAATAACAGGTGTCGGGTTTTAAAAATACAGAAAACATCAACGCGCTTATTGATGTTAAGTACAACAAATCGGGGACAGTGAACAGACTTGAAATTCGATAAGATTGTCCCAGAGGAAACAAAGACTGTTTGGATGATGGGATGGGCAACCAATCACTATACCACCAGTATACTCTTAATCATAAAGGTTTTGGAGAACGGGGCGATTCTGTATTTACACCGAAAAAAAATGGAAGTCAAAATAAAATCCCTAAAATATACCGGAAACGATTTTGATGGAAGACGACTCATTGAATGGAGTGAGTTGGATCCTGTGGGACAAGTGGTCTTCTCCAGGTATTTGGACACACTCAGAAAGACGTTCGATAAGCACCCTTTGGTTAAGGGGACCAAAGGCGTTGGCGTAATCGAGATAGATCAAACGAGCGGTACCTATACTTTTGATCATTATATAAATATATACATATATATGTTCACAAGCTAAACAAAACAAAAGTGAAAGAAAGTATATTAATTTTGCTGGTTGAGGAGTTAAACGTTACCTTAGTGTTGTAACAAAACGTTCCGTTGACGAGAGTGACTACAGCTCTGTTGTGCAGCTTCAAAACTCAATTACTTCCTGAAATAATCGAATCCAAATTCAAATTTTTATTATGGGAAAAAACTTACAAAGACTTCGCTTATCAAATCCCATAGGGTGTTTACGCTTTGGTTCGGAATATGATTCATAAGATCACAGTTAGTCCATGAAAGTAAAATAGTAATGTAATGTTTTTGATGAGCACAGGGGAATACATTATGTAGTTGGATGTTGAAACATAATGTTTGCCAGAGCATCATCAAGCTGACGCTTGAAAGATACTAATGTTGGCGCACAGACCACGTGAGGTGGTAGAGAGTTCCATTTGCTGCACACTCTGACTGCAAATGAATGGCGTCTGCAGTTGAGATGGCTCGTTCGGAGTGCCAACTTCAGTGGATCCCCTTTGAGATGAACATTGGTTGATAGAACCAAAAGAGATCTACATGGATGGGTGAGCTGTTGAAATATTCGATACAGTAAGATCATACCGCCTCTGATTTGACGATATTGAGACCAGTATAGCCCCAGTAGCTGTAGTCTATCGCCATAGATGTTGGAATGTAGAAATTTGACCATCTTGGTAGCCATTCTCTGCGGATGTTCAAGTGCCTTCCGATCTCGCTGCAGCCATGGGTTCCAGGCCTTAATTGAGTACTCGTTGTATGGACGGATATATGTGGCACACAGAATTGGAAACAAAGCCGGCCCAAACGATTCAAAAACACGTTTCAGCAGTCCAACCTGTTTTTCCTCCATGGATGATGTCATGGAACAGTTTGTGGAGCAACTCAAGTCTGCACGAATGACCACTCCCAGATCCTTCTCGAAAGAAGCATGAAGCAGAGTTTCGTGACCGAGAGTGTAGGA